TCTCGTGGGCAGCGGCCCGTGGCAGTGCTGAGCCCCGCGCGGCCCCTTGCCCCCCACAGTGCCGCGGGCCAGGGCCCTGAGGGGGCGCGCAGCGGTGCGGGGGGGAGACCCCTCGTGGTCTGCAGCCTCCCGGGGCAGCCAGGCCAGGCCGAGGGGCATCGTTGGGCCCCTTTGCGCCCTGGCTGCCCCGAGCGTGGTCCGCACAGGCAGGTCTCCTAGCTGTGCACAGCCCCCGTGGCCAGGCCCCACTGCTTGGGGCGTGGAAGGGTCCCCTCTTCCCCTCCGCCCTCGCATTTCGACGCCAGCAGGACCCTACGTCACTGCCCCCTGCTTCTCGCCTGGGCGCTGCCCATATGGGTGGGTGCGTGCTGGTGTCCCGGCGTTGTCTCCATCGCACTTCAGCTAGACCCCCGAGGAAAACCGTTTAAGAGGCGGAGCCGATGAGCAGCACATCCTAGCTCAGAGCCAGATCGTGGCAGTCAGCGGGCTGCTGCAGGGCAGTTGTATGGCTCACGTGCGTGGAGCTTGCTTGGGGAGAACAGGCGCAGCTGAGTGGCAGCGGCTCCTCTCCAGCTTCCCTGCGGTGGGTGATTCCTGCAGCATAGCGCAGCGCAACGCAGCTGAAGTGCGGGGCCTGGACGTGTCAACCTCGGCTGTCGTCTTCGTGGCGGGGAGGAGTTCAGGGGCGTGGTGACTCGCAGTCCCTGAGTCACCATCTCCCTGCCCCATTTCTCCAGGTGTAGCTCGACACTGATGTTCTGGTGCCTGTTTGTATAGTTGTATAGGCTGTTTTGAGTAATGAGCTGTGCGAATCTTAACTTAGCAGGTGTCATTTGCAGAAGCATCCCTCTCTGACAAAAGTTATTGTTGTCAAAGGAGTGCGTGTGCATTAGTGCACTAGAAAGCAGTGTTTGGAAGTAGAGCAGTAGAAAAAAACACTGGTCAGACCCTGCTCGCTCCTTTTCAGCATCCACTCTCTGCCTCGTGTGACAGGAGACATGGCAAGATGGACTAGGGTCTGACCCAGTCAGTGGCAGTTCTTATGTTCTCTGGGTTCGGAATAGAAAGATTTGAGGAGTTGCAGATAACGTTGTGGCAAGCGCAAGTCTCCGAGGGGGAGTTGCTGTGGACCTGCAAAGTATCATGTGGAGGGAGAGCTCCACTGTCAGCCTGTTTTACTGCGTGTGAACCACTTCTGCAAAAATCGCATGCTGCTAGGAGACAGGAAGCACTTGGGGCTTAGTGAGACATGAAGCATTTTCCTTCCTGATCCCCTTTTAAAATGCTGACAGATTGAAGGGCAGACACAGATGCAAGGCACAGTTCTAGCTTGTGTGTACAGCTTACCACAAATGAAGATGTTGCTTCAAGGAGGGCTTCCGGAGCAGGGTGAGCTTGGGGAGAGCCGGCTTTGGACAGAGCTCTGTGCAGCAGGGACTTTTGGCAGAAAAGTGCTAGATAAAGAATTAAGATCGTGCTTGCGTATGCTGAAAATAAGGGAAGAACCCAACCCAACTTTTAAACTGTCAGGGATTGGTTGAGCACTTAAAAAAAGTCTTTTTGTAACTATGGGATGATTTCCTTTGTAATATGTGAAACAAACGTAGCGTAACAAAGCAGAGAGGCCTTTTGCGTTTAAAAAAGGAGAAGCAAATGTAGGTGATGTGGAAATATCTCTCTAAGTGAAATCTTAAGTGTCAGGTCTTGCTAAAAAAAATGAAAAGGATTCTGCTGCTTTTGTAACATTTAACTGTACCAGCCCATTAGAAAATGTGAATAGAATATTTCAATCTGAAAAATGCAGTGGGAAGAAGTTACAGGTGCTTACGGTCATTTTTATTTTGTTCACTTCTGTTGCTACTAATGAGAATTGTAGATTCTTGCTGTTTTGAAGGGAATGCCTGTTTCCTGAACTCTGAACTGCAGGACAGATGGTGAGAGAATGAGGGAGAGAAAAAATATAGGAAAAATGTGTTGCCAATTAGTACCTAAAAGTGAAATAATTCCTTGTTTCTGACTAGTTTGTAGGTATTTCTTTTCCAAAATGACTAGTCAGAATTCTGTGTTCATCTAAGGTTAGCTAATGCGGTCTGGCAAGTCTAGTGTATGTAAATTGGTGACTTGCTGCCTGTGTTTTACAGGTTGATTTTATTTTTAATTTTTTTACATTAGTCTTAACCTGGCATTAAATCTGGCCTACTTTATGAGTACAACTCGGAGACATGTCTTTTACTGGAGGAATGCAGGCCCTGCACTGTTGCAGGATACCTCTGTTTAGCTTCCGAACAGATTTCAGTGAATGTTGCGGCAACTGTAAGCCTCTAGGAAGGGTACTCTAGGATCACAGGAAAGTAGTGCTGGAATGGACCTCACAAAGTCATCTAGTCCAGGCACCTGCCCAAGACTATAAGCCATCTCAGCCAAGTGTACAACTAACTTGCTCTTGAAAATGTCCAAGGATGGAGAATCCAGATTTCTCTAGGTACCCATTCTAATATTTGACCATCCTCATAGTCAAAAGTTCCTCCTCATATCCAGCCTCAGTTTCCCCTGCTGAATCTTGAGGTGATTGCTCCTAGTCTTCTTCCCTTTGGTCACAGAGAAAAGCTCATCTTCATCCTCTCTATAATTGTGTTTCAGGTATTTGAAGACTGTTAACAAATTCTCCTTCATTCTTCTCTTCTCCGGACCAAGTAATCCTGGTTCTTCTAGCTTTCCTCATAAGTTTTGCCTCCGTGGCCCCTAATCACCTTTGTTGCCCTTTCCAATATGTTCACATCTTTCTAGAAGTATGGGGCCCAAAAGTGGATACCATGCTGGAGCGAACAGTTCGCCTGCTTTGCTCCCACCCAGCAGCAATGGTACCTGCTCAGCTGCCTGCCTGGTGCACATGCTGCTCCGCTTCCCCCCTGGACTCTGCTCTGGCGCTTTAGACCAACTGGCCGGCCCAGACTGCAGAAGCCAGGAATGTTCAGATTTGCCCAGGATGGACGGTCACTCTGGGTATGATCCAGTGTAACCCCCCGGGTCTTCTCTGTAGTAGTGTAGCCGAGCCACTCATTCCTGAGTCTCTATTTGTACATGCAATTATTTTGTCCCAAGTGCAAGCCTTTACTTCTCCTTGTTGAATCTCATCTGGTTCACTGTGGACCATTTTTCCAGTCTATTCAGGTCCTTCTGGATCCTACCCCTGCCTCCAGGGTGTCTGCAACTTTACACCCAACTTGGTGTCATCATCGTATTCGCTAAGCATGCATTCAGTCCCATTGTCCAAATCATTAATGAAGATACTGAATAGTACTGGACTGAGGACAGATCCCTGGGAACCCACCTTTGATGCTTCCTCTCAGCTAGACATCGAGCCATTGATGGTTGCTCATTGCGTGGGATGATCCAACTGTTTATGTATCCACCTTATGGTTCTTTCATCTAGTCTGTATTTCCTTAGCTTGTTGATGAGAATGTTATGAGAGACAGTGTCAAAAGCCTTGCTAAAGTCAAGGTGTACCACATCCACTGGTATCTCTCCATCCAGAGTCTGTCACCTTGTTGTAGAAAGAATCACATTGGTCAGGCATGACTTACTCTTGGTGGATCCAGGTGGCTGTTCCTGATCACAAATTCATGCTGCTGCTTTTTGCCCTGGTGCACACCCCTGCTCATGGGGTTAGCATAGGGGAAAGATGCTGTGGGTGGGGTAGGAGAGGCTGGGGCCAGCATCTGGGCTGGTCTCAGCAGCCTTACCTGGGGACCTGCCAGAGCTCCAGCAGTAGTGATCCAGGTGTGTGGAGCCTGGCCAGCAGCCGGGGTGTGGCTCGGGCTGACCATGCTCTGGTTTCTGGCAGTGCACGCTGCTGTCACGTGTGCCAGCTCACTTTTTTTTTTTTTTGGCATGGATGTTTTTGATACTGGGGTCTCCTGGTATCACCCCCCCC